CTGGGAAAATTTGTTTTGATCTTATTTTGTATTTTATATCTTCTACAGAGTCATTACGAAATATTAGAAGTGCATTTTTGTAATTATCTCAATTTTTTCAAATGGAAAGGGTGTGGCTCATTACGATATTCCAAAAGAGAGTTTTCAAACGAGCAATTCAGTACCACACAATCGCTAGTTCATCACTCAAGTGAAGAATGTTCCTAGCATTCTAAATATTTTTGGAAAATTTTAGTTCAATATTTGAATAAACTAGCGATTGTGTGGTACTAGTTTGTTCCTTAGAAAATGCTCTCTCGGAAAATGCTAATGAACCATATCCTTTCCATTTGAGAAAATTGATATAATTCCAAAAATGCGCTTCTACTATCTTTAAATGAGTCTGTTGAGGATATAAAATACAAGATAAGATCAAAACAAATTTTCCCAGCTTCCTTAGAGCAAAATTAAGCGTTTTAACTAATTCATAGCGCTCTAGATAAGAAAGTAAACATTTAAATAATTTGGAGATGAAATGTCAAAAAGTGACAAATGAGGTGTCATTGTACTCGTAATGTAGTTTTCTATTGAAATAGGGGAAAATATACCTGACGCCTTATTTAAAATAAGAAAGTTACGGTCACTTCCGGTCAAACCGGAAATGATAGTAAAAAATTGAATACGTCAAAAAATGCATCCGGGTCATAAATGAACACACAAAATTTCATTTGTTTATTTGGAAAACTAAAAAAGTTATAAGGGTGAGCGGGTTTTGAAAAACACCCGGTATGTTAATGTATGTATTTTTTTCCTCTCATCTCCTCGGTTGGGGAGGTGCTAAATCTGTGAATAGGTGACGAGATATTGGAATAAAACTGGAATTCGCTATAAAATTTCTGAGTTTTGGGATGCCACTGTGGCATAACCTCGAGCATAACGGTTGCAAAATATTGAAAAATGCATTAGGAATCTATTTGTAGAGCCAATGGTGGTCTTCAATTTCGTATAAATTTCCTTCGCATGCAATGCGTAGGCAACGAAACAATCGCAAAAGAGTGTTTGCGACAACTTCCATAAGGGGCAGGGGTAGTTTCCGGGGTGATGTTGCAGTGAGAAAATATATTTTTGGAAAGCTTATTTAGTGCCCTACTGACCTATGGGAAGCAAAAAGCAAAAAAATATATATATATTTTTTTCACCCCCTTAATATTTTTTTTTTCGCCTAGAGGGGTTGTACTAAAAAAATGCTTTTGGTGTCTATGCATGTATGTCGGAGATGTGCACAAAATAATATTTGAACCATTCACATGAAGGGCATTGTGTGCGTGAAAATGAAAAAAAAAGGCATTTTTTTTCAAATTTTATTTTTTTTGGGATGTACTAGATAGAAAATAGGGGTGCACTATACGAATTTTTCAATATTATTTCCACATCAATAATCCCGGAAAATTTGAACAGCCTAGCATTAGCCCTCCAGATGATATGAAAGAGGGTTGTTTAAATTTCAACACCCTGTATATCTTAAGCGGGTAACTGTTTTCAAATAAAACATATACCAAAAAATCGGCCAATTATTTATGAGTATTTTCTGTTTGGTTTGTAGTGGATTTGCTTTACTGTTCAGTAAAAAAATAATAATTCCCAAAACATCTTTTTTCAAGGTCATTCAACTTTAGAGCGCCACCCCGAATAAAGGGTAGGTGATAGATTTATGCTGTCACTGGATAAATTGTAGAGAATTTAGTCCCCTTTAATTTACTATCGAAGTATTTTCTTGTAAAACGTAGCGGAAGCGCTACGTTTCGGAAAAACCATAAAAAACGACCTTTAAGGGGATGGAGGGGGATGTTCCAGCGTGAAATTTTGTTGGAGAAAGTTAGACCCATAATAAGCAGTTCTTGTTCTACCAGAAAAAAATAAAACAGAACTTGTGTCGAGTTTGCGAGGTTCAACCATTCTTTACTGGCCTATGGTGTTAAATTCAACTCTTTTTGGAAGAGATTCGGAATTCAGGTATTCATTGAGTGGAATAACTTCTTCATTCATTTGCAACAATCACGACATCAGCGCTGAGATCAAACTTCGTGTCTACAATACAGTTGTAATGCCAACACTTACATAAATAACTGAGAAACATGGACCACCTACAGAAACCACATAAAAAGCCTAGAAAAATACCAGCAGCGATGCCTAAGAAGGATCCTACGGATTAAATGGCCAGATCGACGAACGAACATTAGTGTTTTAGAGGAGGCCAACCCAACTAACTAGGAAGCCCTTATCATCAAGCAGTAACTTCGCTTGATAGGTCACCTCGTTCGCATGCCCGAAACACGTCTTCCCCGACATATTCTCAGTCAGCTGAAAGATGGAAAACGGAATCAAGGAGGTCAACAAAAACGCTACAAAGATGTTCTAAAGGAAATTTTGGCAAAGTGCCACATCGATATCAGCAACAGTCCAGGACAAATAATAGGCCCTCGCGGAGTCGAGTAGTCCACGATGGACCACAAACTTTTGAAGAACAGCGACGCAGACACAAGACCGGAAAGAGGAAACGCAGGAAAGAGCGAGAGATCAGAGAACCCATAATATGGATATTCTTGTTCATGCAACTGAGCCTAGGATAATGCATTCATACGTTAAGCCAATGAAACCGCATACATTAAATTGAAAATTCGATTCATTAAACCAATGTTATTTGTACATTATATTGAAGAAGTTATTTTACTCAGGCAACGAATATTCTATACGTCAAAATGATAGAATCCTTACTCTGCGACAATGAATTCAACCGTTAAATCAATGAACCTTTTTTTATCTATTTAACGAACAGCTTTTCATAATATTAACAAATTCGTTCACCGGCTCAATATTAATGACGAGAATCACTGGCTCAATGTACTTTTTCGTTATATTTGTGTACTTTTTTTTTTCAGTGCAGGAAATTCGGGACGGAAACGGATATGCCTGAAGCCTCTAATGTCAATACACAGAAAAAAGAAAACGTTTAAGTTAACTAAAGTTTGCGTTAATGTAACTAAATATATTCTTGATATAGGAGAAACTCATACGTGTTTAATTTAAAGTTATAATATGATTGAATTTATTTATAAAATCTTATTTAATGTAAACACATTGTAGTGTTTTCCCCATACATACTATTTACCATACTATTGTTGTAATGAAATTGATTATTTATATTATTTTAGAAGACATTTATTTTATATCAGGTACCCCCTATCCTTTTCCTAAATAATGGTTCGGTTCGGCATCAAAGAAAGGTATAAATTTATTATATTGTCTAGACCTTTTCCAGCAAGAAGGATGTGAATTGTTAGATTAAATTGTAAACCCTGCAGACTTTATGTGAGCAAAAAATGCTGTTTGCAATTATTTTAAATAAAATAAACATTGTCCATCATACATCCAAACCTTCCAAGTATCCCGAAAGACCATTCTTTGAGATATGTCGCCGACATTTATTGAGGGTTTTTCTTAGATTAAGTAGGTAATAGATTTTATAGCAATAGATTTTTAGAAGGGATGTCGAATGAAGATTTTGGGAAGAGAGGGCAGTCAAAAGACAACTATCAGTCAAGACACAACTTTCGGTCAGAAGACAGCTTTGGTTACAGATACATTTTTGTAAGACTCTCTCCTCAACAGCTGCGTATCATTCGATAATAAAAGTATTTTAAACAGAAGTTATACGGTTTTGTTCCATTACGGTCGGTATTAACATTGTATTGGTATTGTGATCATCACATTGGTTACATTGTGGGATCATAACATTGGTGGCAGCGGAAACTTCAAGCGTCGCATCATAGGCTTTGGAAAGAGAATTGTCCGGAGAAACTGATGGCGAACTGCAAGTAAGTAGAACGTTCTAATCTGTGTTACTTTCTCCACTGATTTTTTTTGTTTAAATAAATTTTTTTGTGTTTGATATTTAATTGTTTATAAAAAAAAGGTACATTGAGGTTTAATTTTTTTTATTTGTTTTTTTTTTGTAATTTTTGTTGGCATTTCCTTTCTGAGAATTAAAATGTCTAAGAATATAATAGAATTACTTAATATGATACCAGTGTTTGAGGGAGAAAAAGAGGGGAGTAAGTTAAATATTTTTTTGTCCAAATGCGAATTAGTTATTTATTTAATAGACTCGACTGTCAAAGACATATTAGAACCTAAACTTTTAGACGCAATTTGGGAAATGAAACTTGAGGGTCCTGCGTTTGAAAAAACAAGATATATTTCATTTGAAAATTGGGAGGAATTGAAAACTGAGCTAACTGCTATTTTTACGGAAACAAAAAGTTTTGCTCAATGGAGTATCGATCTAATGAGTTGCAAAAAATATCACAATGAATCAGTAAGGGAATATTGAACTAGGCTTAAAAATATCTTTGGAAATTTCGTATAATCGTCTAATCATTTAAATAATTTTAACGAACAAAAAAGAAAAGATCACATACAGATATTCGAAAAAACTTTACCGTCAATTTTTTGTCAAGGTCTCATTAATGCCATAATGAGAGCCTCTCTCACCTTAAATAATTCTTTTAATATTGATCAAATCATAAAAAAAGCTGTCGAAATAGAAGCGTCTGTATTCCCTAGTTTGCATCAAGGAAAAATAAATTTAATTGATATATTGTAATTACTGTGAAAAAACTAACCATTCAACAGAAAATTGCCGTTTGAGACAAAACCAAAGTGCTTTTCAAAATTTGTATCATCAGGAACGTTTTTGTAGTTTTTGCGGAAGAAATAATCACTTATCAGATAATTGTTTAAACAGAAACACCTCACATTTTGCTAGAAATTATAACGATAATCAAACCTTTAAACGAGGAACTTTTCAAAATCACAACTTTTATCAAAGGCACCAACAAGAACGGTATTTCCAAGACAGTCCACAAACTAACACTTTTGAAAATATTCAACAAAACCGGTTTCCTCAAAGCTATGATTTTAATACAAATTATAATCACAATACTTATCAAAGTTATAATCAGAATAAGCGATACTTTCCAGAAAATGATCTCGACGAACAAAATTGCAAACATAAATTTAACCTTTTACCAACAAATAACCCCAATATTCGAAATCAGCAAGTCTATAAAAAACCATCTACCTCCAAACATCATCAACAATTAATATTAATTAACCAAGAAAGTCAAGGTATAGCACGAAATTTTGAGGAAAAGAACGTTTCAATTAAGAATTCAAGTAATTATAAGAAAGATTTAAAAAATGAGAACGAAAGCAGAAGTTTTACAGAAAGAAAACCAGTAATTAATGAAAATCCAAAAATTGAAAATATATTGTTTTGTCAAGAAGAAATTAGTTCAAATTTAGGTAACGAAGACGGAAGAAATTTGAAAGAAAATATAAATAATTTAATCGAAAGACCAACTAATTTAGAAAGCAAAATATTAGAAAACAATATTGAAACTTATAAGAAAATGGTCGCAAATGAAGAGAGTTCAATAAATAATAAACAAGAAGAAAGAGAAAATGAGGATTTTAAAGCCAAAGCTGGTGATCTGACCAAAGAAATAAAATCAAAACAGAAAATTTTTGATGAAAGTTTAAAAAACAGAAAAAATAACCTTAAAAAGCTTCAAGAAACTCATGAGAAGAAATTTAATAAGGGTAAAGAAAAAGCCGAAAAGTATAAAGAGAAAATAGCAAGAGAACACAGTTAAAATAAGGAACTCGAAGCCAAAATTAATAAGCTGAAAGAAGAACTATATTATTCTAATAAAAGCCTAAAAAGTACTGAAAATAATTTTAAGAAGCTTCAAGTAAATTTTGAGACAAAACTCAATGAAGTTTTGAAATGTGCAAAAAAGAAACTACAAATACAAAAGCAACAAGAAGAAAGTGAAAATAAGTTTGAAGAAAAGATACACGAAATAGCTGAATTAGATAGGGAAGTCAAAAGGCAAAACAAAGAAATAAAATTTAAACAAAAATATGTTGATGAAGCATTAAAAAATACAAAAATACTTGAAGAGATATATGAAGGAAAACTCAATGAAGTTAAAATTGATGCTGAAACAATGAGAAAACACAGGAAAGAGCACTTAAAAGCAAAAAATCTAAAATTAAGAAACATAAAAAACTTTGAACTAGAGAATGCGATTTTTAACAAACTAAAACAAAAAAACTATAAGCAAACTAAAAATGTATCAGAACAAACTAATGAAAAATTGAAAAAGAATTCTGCACTAAACTTAGATTTGCAAGAATACGAAAAGAGTTTCAAAGACATGCAAAAAAGAGAACTGAATGCTCTGAGAAAGCAAAATTCAACTCTAGAACGCATAGAAGTACAAAAGATCGGAATCCGTAGCAAATATATTTTAATTAAACCATTTTCTAAATTCCTGTTAGTTTACGAAAATAAGCAGGAACATAATATGTAAATCAGCGAAAATTCAATTCCGCAAAATTCATGTGTGGACAAAAGCAACCGATCTGGCTCTAACACATTCATCCAAATTGCGAAATCTTTTTATATCATCAATCATTCAATTTAATTCCTAAAATTTGTAAGAAAAAAGTCATTCATTTAGACTAAATTTCATTTATCTAGCTAATTCACAAAAATTCTTGATTATTTAATGTAATCCTCAAAAAAAAAGGAAATTCTAATTTTAAGTTGTAAAACCCCTAATGTAACTGTTCATATCATATTTTGAAAGACTCAGGTAAAATTATAGTTGGTGGAGATTGTAAAGGTTTTAGTGGTTCTGCTTTACTTTCTACCGGATAATGTGGCACCATTGGTCACTGATAGCGTTTTTTATATCAGCTACAGATGTTGTAATGAAACTGTATGACAAGAGGGCCGTAACTTCAACTTTCACTTCACTTCACCCAAGTACCAACACCTTACGTCATATTATGTATAGATGACATAGAACAAGTAGCAGCAGAAGCAGAGAGAAGCAAAGCAGATAAGAACCTATGCATAAATCGGCCTCTTGTATAGCCTATATACTCGCCGTGTTTTTATGCTTTATATTTATTTCAAAATCTACAACAGTTGCATAAACAATGCAAACTATCCGTTTTCGATATAAATCCGAAGCAACCAGAAAGCAGTCACCACACCATTACAACTGACATATTGGAAAAAAGTGTCAAAGGAACAGCAGGAGCAGGAGGCCCCTTTCGATGTCACTCACAAGAGCAACATATTCCTAACTCAGCAGATAGAACCAGGAACCATAGCTACAATTTTAGAAGCTCAAGAAAATGTGGTTCGTCATATTTTTTCAATTTGAACTTTTAAATTTTAAATAGGTACATATTCTAAATATTTTTATTAATACCAATTTTTCAATTAATTAAATTCAAATTTACTGTTTATTATTCGAGAATTTTGAAATTTTCTAATTTATTCACTAAATTCGATCAATTCTAGTTTTGTTCTACTCAACTGTTATATACTTTGACATTACGATTTACAAAATTGCCAATTGCAAAACTATTTTTGACGTGGTCTAGGTCTATCCAAAACTTTTTGATCGCTACTTTATATTCAGGATTTTTTTAATTTAAGTTCTATTTAATTGTACTTTTACTTCAATTCAACTTTCAGAAAATTCTCTTTTTGTATTTAAAGTCCTCGTAAATTAATGGACCATTTTTTGGGTCATTACACTGTCTATTTTCATTTTTCATTTCATTTTTTTTTACATAAAATAATTAGGTATTTAGGTATTTAGTAAGTAAGATTTGTTCTTTAATAATCATTAATTAAGATATTTTTTTTTTCAAATTCTCATCTATCAGCCATCGCGACTGATAAACATTTTTTTTTATAAAAAATTTTCCAAAATAGGGGGAAGGTATGTAGTGTTTTCCCCATACATACTATTTACCATACTATTGTTGTAATGAAATTGATTATTTATATTATTTTAGAAGACATTTATTTTATATCAGGTACCCCCTATCCTTTTCCTAAATAATGGTTCGGTTCGGCATCAAAGAAAGGTATACATTTATGGGTGTCCACATTTATTATATTCTCTAGACCTTTTCCAGCAAGAAGGATGTGAATTGTTAGATTAAATTGTAAACCCTGCAGACTTTATGTGAGCAAATAATACTGTTTGCAATTATTTTAAATAAAATAAACATTGTCCATCATAAACATCCAAACCTTCCAAGTATCCCGAAAGACCATTCTTTGAGATATGTCGCCGACATTTATTGAGGGTTTTTCTCAGATTAAGTAGGTAATAGATTTTATAGCAATAAATTTTTAGAAGGGATGTCGAAAGAAGATTTTGGGAAGAGAGGGCAGTCAAAAGACAACTATCAAACAGATACATTTTTGTAAGACTCTCTCCTCAACAGCTGCGTATCATTCTATAATAAAAGTATTTTAAACAGAATTTATACGGTATTGTTTCATTACGGTCGGTATTAACATTGTGTTCGTATTGTGTTCATCACATTGGTTACATTGTGGGATCATAACAACATATTAGTTAACGGGAAATATAGATTAAATAATTTTTCTTTCGATTAGCGTTTATTCCAAATTATTATTTATTTGTATCACGCATTTCATGTATTTAAATACAAAGATCAGGTATTTGGCTTAATTTCTGTGTTTTTCACAAAACCAGAATATCTATTTTATCCAAATTAATATGTGTTGCAATAAATATATTATTTATTCGTTTCAAATATTTGAGTTGTTCAAATAATTAGATGCCTATTTAATATTTTTCACCACATTTTAAGGGTCCAGTCCCAATAAATTTATTTTAAAAAATATTCACAAACAAAACAACAAATATTGAAGAAATAATTGAAAAAAAAACTATTCGTATAAAAAAAAAAAAGTAGGTATACTTAGTCCAAAATATACCTAACTGGTATAAAACAAAACACCATTTAGATATTGAGTTCAAGGTTTTGTCAATTTTTTTTGTTAAAGAACCGAACAGCTATACTTAGATCTAGGTAAATGGAAACAAATACTGCCTAAAACAAAACTAAACGCAATTCTCAAAAACTGAAAAAAACACAAATTATTCACAATGTTCTAATGTTCAATGTTTGGTTTGCTACCGGTATCATGACGATTACGCGTGGCCCAACACAACACACTTCCAGATCCAGACTAAACAACAGAAACATTCTGAAACTGGAAACGCAAACGAATGCAACTATAGCAGAGACGAGCCCGCTAAAAAGTTCATGTTCGAATCAAATTTGCATAAGATTTAATAAATTAGAGCTTTGCCCTCCAAATAAACAAAAAATTACTTCAAATATATAAATTAAAAAAGTAATAATTAACCCTCAAATTTTGTTTTGTTACACAAATAAATATTTATTTAATTGCTAATTTACATTATTTCAAGCAACTACATGTTTGTACATATTATTTATATTTCTCTATTTAATGTAATATTCTGTTCATTTGGTCCAAACTTTAACCAATTAACTTAAATATATTTTTATTTTGTGTGTTAAATGTTAATGAATCATTTGTATCAATTTTATACGTTATAGGTCTAATCTATTGGTGCTCAAATAAATGGGCGATTTAGGGCAAATAGATAAATTTGTTTGAAAGAAGCGGATTTTGATAGTTTTAAATATATACAATATTGACTTAATTCAATATGGGCCAAATAGATGATTTATTTAACTTTCGATTTTTTCTGTGTATTACATATACACTTGAAAATAAAATTATTTATTTGTCACTCATTTGTAAAACGTCACTTATCAAGTCAAAACATGAACAACGAAAATTGATTTTTACAAGCTACTGGCTCTACTGACTTGTAAAATTGACAGCTATACTGTAAAAACTTTTTACCTACGAACGTACGGTAAAGTGCACTTTACCGCACGTATTTGCAAATGGAAAGTAGCACTTTACCGCACACTATGCGGTAAAGTTAACTTTACAGCATAGTATGCGGTAAAGTGAACTTTACAGCATAGTATGCGGTAAAGTGGACTACAAAGTGTGCGGTAAAGTGCATTTGATATTTTTAATCAGAAATCCTTTTTTTTTTCAGAAAATGGATTTTTGATCATTTATATATCTAATCTAATTTCATTAATTAATCTGATTCAATAATTAATTTTATCAATGCCTTTTTTTAGAGATGTAGATGCTCATAGGTAAAATGTTGTACCTAACACATGCGGAAAGTGCCTTTACCGCCCTTAACGGCTTGACCGAACGACGCGGAGCGGAGTTCGGTCAACTGCCGTTGCGTGCGGTAAAGTATCACTTTCCGCATTTGTTAGGTAAATAACTATTACCTACGAGCGTGCAGTAAAGTGCACTTTACTGCACTTATTTGCAAATGGAAAGTGGCACTTTACCGCACACTATGCGGTAAAGTTACTTTACCGCATAGTGTGCGGTAAAGTTAACTTTACAACATAGTATGCGGTAAAGTGGACTGCAAAGTGTGCGGTAAAGTTAACTTTACCGCATAGTAATGTAGAAAGTGCGGTGAATCGGTGTGGTCAAATAATACTCTTCATGGTTCGGAATAGACTGATTTATTATATTTGATAAACATGATGGACAGGAGTATAACAATTTATTATTATTGTTACAATAACGCATATGACCTAGATTTAGTTGCTATGTCAATGAAATATATAAACAACACTTGGTGGCCTTACATCTTCCCCGTTCGAAAGAATGGATTTCATTTGGACATTTGAAATACATTCGTTTCAAACATACAACTTGTCCTATTTGTCGAGAAGCTGTACTGCTCCAAATTTGGATTTAGCCTAAACCTTTTATGAATGTTTATTTCTAAAGTAACATCTACAGTATTCAATATATTGTATAAAATTGTTAAATAACTATTTGGTACATACATATAAAAATATAAATTAATTAATATTACCTACTTAAATGTGTGGCGTGCTCTTTCGTCCTTAATGAAAATGATTGTGAAGCATTTCAACATTAATATTAGAAATTATTGCGTCGAGCTAATAATATTGGCTTTACAGTATAATTATATATGGTTTTAAATAAAATAAAATAATATAAATAGATATGGTATCATGAAGTTATATAGAATTAAAAAATCACTTTTGGCAGTACTTCTGCACTCCATTTTTGTGCACTATAATTTCCTTTCCATTTTCACTTCTCGCTTTACAATTTACACCATGTGTACTAATCGCTACAAAAGGACCTTTGAACCAAGAATCGAGTTTTGTTGGATTTTCATTATTTATCATAACAAAGTCACCTGGTTGCAAAACGAGATTTTGAGATGTTTTATCGTACTCAGTTTTTCGTTTCTCCTTTGATCTGATCAGAAAATCCCTAGCTCGCCTTAAAGAAAATTGAAAAATTCTAAAGTTGTTGTTTTGTCCAGATATAAATATTCTTAATTTGGTTTTTTTT